AACACAGTGTGCAGTTTTTCAGGCAAAAAGTACTTTGGAGAGGTGGATCACATACCTGAATGAAGATGGAGGTTATTCAAAGAACTGGCAGCACAAAACTTTATAGTGCTGGGTTTTAACTCCATCACATCCCCTCAAACACCACATACCCTTTTGGTACAGTTTCAAATTTCCAAAACTGCAATGAATACCATTACCAAATTTTTGTTTTTTCTTCCTAACTCTTCTAGGGGACAGGGGGGAAGAATCAAAACACCCTCATATGGAACACAAACATTGAACTAAAGAGCCCTGACAAATCACTCATCTGGAGAGCCTGACCAAGTGTGCTTAAAGTACAAAGCAGCTAAAAATAAATAAAATGTTTTTTAAGAGGGAAATCACTCAACCCCTCACCCAGCAACTTGGAATTTTCATACAATGTTTCTGCCCTGAAGACAGTGTGAGACACTCAGGTGTGCTCCTCTCACTACAGTGACATCAAAAAGAACTTATAAAAGGTGGTACTGCCACAGTGTCCAGCCCTTGGCATTTCTCCAAGAAGTTCACACACACACAAACACACAAAAAATGTCATAGGTACAGGAGCAAAACAAAATAACTGCTGCAAAAAAACTATAATTTTAGGACAAGTACTTGGCTTGACAAAAGTTATACAATTTACATTTTTCACACATTTTATTTAATTTTGGCAGAAAGCTGCAAAAATCATTTCATTCCACTCATATTGGAAGTGAGTTTCCAGAGCAAAACCTACTATCTTGGAGGGGGGAAAAAATAAAGGCAAAGAGGGAGGGAAGACAAGTACTGCAAAATGGTATACCAGAAAAGTATTTTCATTCTGGAAAGAGTTTTTCTGTCATAAGTAAAAAATTTCACAGATTTCTTTTGCATTGTGTATTACTTGAGGTCTCAAAACCAGAACAGCTGAAATTCTGCTAAACTGGCAAACAGCTTTTCATCTACTAAATAAACACTCCACTTGAAAGACTAAAGAGTACTGTAAAAAGAAAAACTGACATTAAATAAGTACTGGGGGAGGGAAGAAACAAGTACCAGACAAACACAGTAAAGCAAGCGATGTTTAAAGTGACTTTGTGCTTATCCTCCCCTAATGCTTTAATTACCCAGGAGGATCTAGCTGGGAATTGCAGTTCACCACAGCAGAACCTGCACCCTGCTCCCTTCCACCACAGGTTCCGAACCCCCAGTGGCTCCTGCTCCTCTTCCTCTGCTGATTCCTCTGTCCTCCCTTGACACTTCTCCCTTATACCCTTTCCCTACCAGGCTTACCTCAACAGAATCTGCCTAAATCCTGAAACGAGTGTCTTCATGTTGGTGATTAGCAGCGCCCTATTAAAAGAAACACAACAAAACCCAGCCACAACTCAGCACACAGGGTAGCACTCCCTCCCTTCCCAGCTTTTGTTTACAGTCCTTTCACTTTTTGACTCCTCTCCCCCTTGCATAACACTATCACTTTGGTTACACAACGCTGCAGACACTGTTCTGGGGGATTTTTGCTTGGGGGGAGGATTGCTTGGTCTTTTAGTGGATTTTTTTGTTTGTGAGCTTTTCGTTTCCAATGACAATAAAACTCCACTCGCAGGAGGCTTTTTAAAGCTCCTCTGTAGCAGCCTTCTCTCCTTGTAAACTGAGTCCTTTTTCCTCATCATAAACACCTTAAATTTTCTCCTTAATAATGAGATTCCTCGAGACCAGGAGGAGATTTTTATGATTATTTCTTTTTGTTTTGAAACTCAGAAGCCTACAAACAACATCTCAAATGAATATGACTGTTTCCAGCTTATTCACAGATAAACAGTGCTTCAGATAAGGAACTTCCACTGTTTATTCCATGCATAGATGGCATTTCAAAAGCAAAGCAAAGTCCCTAACAGCAGCCAGCCTCTGGTGAAACACCCAAAATTAATCTCACTAAATATACTCAAAAATACTGTATTTCAACCTCTTTTAAGGCCTCTTAGAGACAACCTGCAGAAGAGAGGGCAGCTCCAAAAGCAAATTGGAAAACAACTGCCAAAACCTGGTTTCCTACAGCTTTGTGCTGTTTGTCCTGTAATCCCCAGGCAGCTCCTCCTGGGCAGCCTTCCTGATAATCACTGGCCAAAAATAAAGTGCTCTGGCAGGCAGGCACTGCTGCAGCACTGCCTCAGCAGAGTGCAGCACCCAGACCTGAGCCTGGCCAGCCTCTGCAAGCCTTGCCTGGTGGCAGGCTTCCCTCAGCCTCCAACTACCCCTCCCAAATTCTGGAAAACCTACAGGATGGCAGTGATTTCTAAGAACAGCAAGAGCAGCTCGATAGCACAGTGTGCATTTTCTCATGGAATAGTCTGCAGCAACGACCCTATAAAAGATATTGGTCCCACTGGGCATGTCCTGGTTAGGAGTATGAAAGGAAAAGGAAAGAAGCCCATGTTTAATAACACACCTGGGATCAGCTTTTAAGAGTGAAAAAAAAAACCCATTTCCGTAGGCAGCTTTTGTTTTCACTTCAAAAGCAGACCAGTTACTCATTATGTGTATTTAAGTATTTTAGTATCTTGTTCTATTAATAGATTGGGAAAAAACCCATAAAGCCAAACAGGATCAGTGGGGAGTCTCCACGTTCAGCAGTGCTCACTGTGCAGGCACAACTATCCAGACAAAACACTCTAGTGATTTGTACACCCCAGAAGATATAATCACAAATTCCTCCTACTTGAAAAAAAAAAATCAAAAAACTCCACCAAAATACAGCACACCACCCTCCCCCAAAAAGGATCTCTCTTTGAACACTAAGAGATCTCCATTTAAGGCAGACCACCCAAAGTTTCAATCATAAAAAGATTCAAAAGGAGGCACTTCAAGTGGAACTCATCAGTACTAACTTATGGTAAAATCCACGACTCATTAAAATATCTGAATAGGTTTGTTTTCCTCCTTCAGATCTGCTTCTGAACAGAGAATCCGTATAACTTCCAGGTTTACTACTACATCATCAACTAATTCTTCCTCAGTCTACAACACCATATTTGCAAAGCAACATCTGAATTAATTTTTAATGTATGTTAAATGCTTTTTGTAGTACAACAGGTGCCTCTGTAAGAAAGCTGTACATATGTCTTTAACAAATACCTGCAATACCTTCTGGTACCTTTCATCGTAAATTTCGTATCCACATTTCAGTGACACTTTTGAATTTCAGCCTTTGAAGAGAGGGCTATGAAACCTGATCTTAAATGAAACCCACTCAGCTCCTAAGACACTAATGATGACTGGAATTTAAGCTCCTCAGAACATTCCCCACGATTTCAAACCATGGACCAATACAGCAGGAGAGTCCTAAGGCACACAGACTGCTTTCCATGTAATTTTTACTATTTCCTTTTTATTAAACTAGCACAAAAATGAAATATTTACCCTTTGACAAAAGGCAAACTTTAATAATTTGGATTTTTTTTTACTTGGCTCACATTGCAAACTGGAAATTGAAAATTCCTATTAGAGAGGGGTAGGTTCAGAATACCTCAGTCAGCGCTACATTTTTGTGTGGGGGGAAGTGCTTCATTTTGCAAAAAGCGGATGGAAAGTGTAACTGGGGAGCACAGAGGAGCTCTCAAGGCAGGCTGCAGGACCTGGATCTGAGTTGCTTAGCTAACTACAAATTACACACAGATTCCGGTCCGGGGTTCCCCTGAGGCACAGCGCTAGGTGGTCACACACAGATTCCAGCCTGGAGTACCCCGGGGCACAGCATTAGGTGGGCACACACAGATTCCAGTCTGGGATCCCCCCGAGGCACAGCACTAGGAGGGCACACACAGACTGCAGTGCGGGGTGCCCCTGAGGCACAGCACTAGAGGGCACACACAGATTCCAGTCCGGGGCACAGCGCTAGGTGGGCACACACAATTC